AGGTCATTAATCTATATTGTTACGGACGCATTTTTTTTATTTTGCCCATTCGTACTTTAAAAACCACCTTTCGTTCACACGTTACCTAATCCTTGTAGGATTTTAATTTCTTCCCTTTATTAAATCCATCGCACTCGAACATCAGAATAAAAAACAAACAACGCGCACAGTGATTAAATAATAATTTCCTTTAACATTTATTTGACTAAATGTGTTACATTCAATATCTGATGCTTTTCCTTTCCGAGAAAGGCAACTGGCATGAATAGAAACCATGTTTCGTGGCTTAACAGGAAAAAGGTTACAGGAAACCTGCTCGTGTCGTATCTCTATTTACACGGACTCCTCAGCTCATGTGGCAACGCCCTATATACATAAAAAAAATAAAAAAAAATACAGTAACAAGGAGGGGAAAGAAAAGTGCGTCTCGAAAACACGCTCCAAAACATCACACGGAGAGTCTGTGACTGGCAACAGGAACGCTGAAGAAAACAAACCGTGCACACACAACTCACTTCTGTGGGGGCAGACTAGCCCAATACAGTGCTGTTCCCGAAGGAGGAATTCATTTAAAAATAAGATTGTTGTAGAATATTTGTATTTAGATACAAGTGGAAGAATGCATTAGAGTGCAAACAGGGGACTGCCTTCATGGTGTAACCTTCACGATACGTTTAATGTTGTAGGACACTGCAGTGAAATGTCAGTATTAGGCTCCCTTCAGAGCTATGCGTTAGTTGCTGTACAACGCGTGGTTTACAATGTATTAGTGCAGACAACCTCGGCACTCCAGCTGTTGTGGAACTACAAGTCCCATTAGGCATTGCAAGACTCCGACAGGCATAAGTCCAAGAGGCAGAGGCTTGAAGGTATCTGTGTTTTCAGCACAGCTGGAGTGGCGAGGTTGCCTAGCTCTGCATTAGTGCATATTAGGAATGCTACCCCAATGGATAATAAGAGTAGTCCAATGCACACGCACAGTGGCACACCGCAATGAACATGCCCTGCGCTATGGTGCACTGTTGCAAAATAAAAAGGTTGTGCCTTCTTTGCCTCTTGAGGTGCATTGGTATATTCCAAAGGAACAAGCTTCCTTAATGTAATGTATATTGTTCTGCAAGATACCAAATGTTAATGCATTGCAACGGACTACAAAGGTCTAGAGAAGGCCTTCAAGTACAGCTTTAATGGAGATATATCTCCATTGCACACCATACCGGTACACCCCTTAGATCAGGTGCTGCATGGCACCACAGTAAAGATATGTTTACAGCACACCTCCTGCTTCAAAGCTCGTCTTTATTGATGTTCTTTCAGCACATCCAGACAGATTCCAACGAATGGACACTTTGCCTGATGAAGGGATCCTGCAAGGTTCCAAAACGTGGCAACCTCTCTTGATATGCTGAACAACCATCAATAAACGAGCTTGGAAGCACACGGTGTGCTGACAACATATCTTTCATACACAATGGCAGGGGTAGCCAAACTCCGGCCCTCCAGCTGTGGTGGAACTACAAATCACACGAGACATTGCAAGACTCACAGACATGACTCCCGGAGATAGATACATCATGGGATTTGTAGTTTCACCACACCTGGAGGGCCGGAGTTTGGCTACCCCTGCACAATGGGGACATTTTCCTTTACTTCCTTTCCCAGAGAACTGACAGGAAAAATCTCAAACCGAAAGAAAAAATCACACCTTTGACTGTCGTCACCCAACAATGAAAGGCATGTCCTCTACTTCTCTTCTAGGATACCTTTAATATTTTGGACTTCTGATAGGTTCTCCCCCAGTGACAATGGTCAGCATGACCAAAAGTGAGGCTTGGGTTTCCAATCTGGACACAGACAGGAATACAAAACACTCCAGTAGGTTCAATCCTTTCCTCGGCTCTATCCAAAACTACAGGTTTCATTAGGTCAATGGAGACTTTTAAAAGTATCCTTAATGTCAAATGTTTTAGCTGTCCGTGTTGAATGCGGGGGACTATACACCGTGTAATGTTATCTGAACATTCACCTCGAAGGTGTTTGTAGACAGCCGTAGAAAATAGACACACCTCCTTGGTGACAAGAAGCAGTTGGGTCACAATGGACAGTTGAGGAGGTCGTTCAGGTGCAATTGAGGAAAACGAATAATGAATACTGTTTACAAACATGTTTATTCCACTGCCTTGCTTTATGGCGTCAGATTTTTTGCAAAAAAGTAGAGTTGTGCTTTAATTTTTGCTAATTGGGGGAAACCAATCACAAAGCATGATGTGTTTGCCTGGGACAACCTACTTCTAACCTGATTGGCTGCTATGCACAATGCCTCCCACCTTCCTTTTCTCCAC